GCTCCTTCATGATTGGTTGAACGTTAATGGGCTACTTTAACATTGTCAATGATGCATTTGGCAATGAGACTTCTGAAGACTAAATCGCATTTTGTTTAAAGCCCATCATCATCTCAAATCACAAGAGGCAGAGCTGTCCGGAGATACTTTTATTGGTGCTTTTTTTTTGCTCCTCTTCATTTCTAATTGTTGGGAACCAGCTGAAGAGTCACAATTGTAGCATTTACTATATATTGCAGGTATGTGCAGAAATAGCACCGAAACAGCGCTCTCCTCCCCAGAAGCACCATCTCCAGACAGTTTCCTACATGCAGGGCTGTTGTTAAGAGCTACGTTTTCCCGTCGGTACGAGTCCCTATGTGTGACACGCTACTCCAGCACTTCAAACGCTGAGTTGTCATGCTACACATCAGTGTATCTGCGGGTGATGAGGCCTGCAATGCCGGTTCCCTGCACAGATGAGGGAGGCGCACAAACAAGCTCAGGTGCTCCCACCCGCATTCACTGCCTGCCCACGGGAGTTTGATCTCCTCCACGTTTGACAGGAAGGCCTGGTGAGGTCATGTCAAGGTTAACAGCCACCCTTTCATTCATAATGTTGGCTCTCCTCAGTTACATTATCTAAAAACATCACTCTGCCAGCATAATATTTGACTTTACAGTCCGCAGACAGTAATTCAAGTTATGTATCAACATGTATAATTAATAATGTAGGAAAGAACAATGACTACAAATCCAGGATCCTTGATAATTTCCCTAAATCTGTATTCTTGAAACCGTGCCACTCATTTTTTAGTTATCTGTTTATGTTATTTCTTGCTTAGATTTTTTTTTTTTGCTCAATACAGACTTTCATACAGTATTCTTTTACACAGATGACAAATCCACACAGTCCTGGCTCAACAAGTTTGACTTGTGAACCTTTAAAATTCAGCTCTGCAATTCATGTTTTACCTTCCGTAAATGCATCCGCAGGTCCATTTGTGTGCTCTTTCAGGCTCTTAGTAAATCTCCTCTGGAATGTTCAACAAGGTCAATTAAAATAGGTTAAAAAGCAAATATTGCTCCAATGTATTTTTGTTAAGCTGTGTTCCAATTCAGATGGTGAATATGAGCACATTCCACATACATCAAACAAGGATTTTTCCTTGATTTGATTAAATGAACTGAGCCCATTGTTTGTTAATTAATCTCCTTCCAGGGTTTACCGTGTCATTGTTCCCTTCCAAATCTCCAAGAGGACACGTCCCCCCCCCACCCACCACCCCACATGTCATGTGCTCCAGAAGGATCCAGTGATCACATATGCTGGAAAGGCAAAACAAAAGATGTATTCATTTTAGATGCTGACATGTGCAGTGAAAATATGCAAATGAGCTCTGAGGAGTGTAACAAATCTCTCCCCCTCAAGCAAAACTACCTTGCAGGTTCATTCGATGAATTCATCACGTTCTCTCTTTGGAGATTTTCTGAAATACATCAAATGCGGCAAAAAAAGATTGTGATTTAACTCTAGTTATCTCCTCGAAGTTTTGTGGATTTGTGGATCTTTTCTGAAAGAACTGGAGACCTGATTATTACTCCAGGTACAGCATCACGGGGCTGGGGGGGAGGAGGTGCGGGGGGGTATATATTTTACACGCTCTAGAGTCACCCCGTCCATACCTGTATGGGTGTTAGCTGTTCTTCCATCATGGTCACATGTTTACATTTTACATTTTTACTTATACCGTTAGTGCTGTGTAAGCGATGTACAATTGAGAAAGTAGGGTCAGACAGTCCCAGGGCAAATGACGTTAAAATTCTTGCTCAAGGGCCCAATGGTGAAACTACTTTGCTTGACCACAGGATTTGCACCACTGACCAGGGGCCGTGCAAGGGGAGGGTCACTTAGGGTGATTCCAAGGGCCCCTGAGCGAGAGGGACCCTAAAACTTTTGGAACATAATATAATTGGTCTGGGTTGGGGGCCCAACATGATATGCTTTCATGGGGCCTAAAATCTCTAAGGACACCCCTGCCAACGACTTTCAGATCATGGACTCTGTCTTATAGGCACTCCTTTCCAAGTATTTGGGTGCTTGAGCTGTACATTCAGACTAAAGCAATGATGATGCCCCCCCCCCCCCTTGGGCTCTCAGCACTCCCTGACATCCGACTCACCTCAAATACAATTTCCATTCTCACACTCACCCAGCCACCCCCCCCCCAACTTGGGAAGATGAAAGAAGCTACCAGACAACTTCCCATTTTGTTTATATAAAACACCCTTAACTGACCAGATACCTCATAATCTCATATCACGCTTTTGAAAATTGTGTTGGTGACTATAAAGCATTTTTCTAATGAGCTGTTTAAAGACCATTGTCAAATTCAATTATTACGCCTGGTATGTTCATAAAACTCGAATTAACTTTTCAAATGTTGGGATGACTATACAGCCATGAATTACCCTGCTCTCAATTGTCCAGGCTGTTTAATTATTGGTTTGTGAAGCAGTGTCTTATGATTGGTTGTGCTCCTTATATAGCGGCGTTGCAGCATGTAGCTCATTGGGCTAAACCTCTGTACCTGTAATCGGAAGGTTGCCGGTGCTAGTCCAGCCTTGGCACATCTGTGGGTCCTTGAACAAGACCCTTAACCCCCAGCTCCCTGGGGGCCACATCAGGTGGCTGCCCTTTGCTGCCAGCTTGCTCTCATCTACTGAGAGCAAGTTGGGGGAGGAATTTCCCCATGGGGATCAATAAGAAGTATTATTTATTTATTTAATTTTATTTAAGGAGCCATGTGACTGGCTATAGGTAAGAGAGATCACCTGAACGCAAGCTTACGACTGTTCCTCACATATAATTTGGTTGTTTGTTCAGACAATCCAAGACCCTTTCTCCTTGTTTTATATTATATGGTTTTATAATGTTTTATATTACCACAGACTCGTTGAGCTCAGGGTTTTCTGCTCTTTAACGGCCCTAAAACTGTGTGATCCTCCTCCACTTGTCTTCAGGGATTTCCCCTCTTCTCAGATTTTTTTTACAATATAACATTCACTGGTCTTAACTGCTTTCAAACCTGAAATCTGTGTAACTTCTTTAGTACACTGTTAATGTTCTGCAGAGTCCATTTCTGTACCTTAAAGGGGTACATTTAACTATAGCTAGGGTTCAACTGGCAGACTTTTCAGGATACAGCCCCAGTGACAAGTACCCTCAAAGATGCAGTGTGTGGTGTGACAGTGTACAGTGTACACAACTATGTTTAGATATTGTACTGTTCTCCCATGCTGGTTGTTCTGAATAAAATAACTAGGCAAAATAAATATACATATGTAATTTTATATTTAAAAAATAGGTCTGTGTAATGTTTTCCAGATTGTGTTACGTGTACGCTGACTAGTTGTGGAAAAGGCTAAAAAGTTGACCATTTTTCCTTAGTAATTCAATCTGTAGCACTGAAAACTTAACTAAATGCTATCAAAACGTATCGAACAGTTATGTCTTTGTCGCGTACAGTTAAACGTGTAATACGCGCAAGAAATAAGGTCCATTTCTGTACCTTAAAGGGGTACATTTAACTATAGCTAGGGTTCAACTGGCAGACTTTTCAGGATACAGCCCCAGTGACAAGTACCCTCAAAGATGCAGTGTGTGGTGTGACAGTGTACAGTGTACACAACTATGTTTAGATATTGTACTGTTCTCCCATGCTGGTTGTTCTGAATAAAATAACTAGGCAAAATAAATATACATATGTAATTTTATATTTAAAAAATAGGTCTGTGTAATGTTTTCCAGATTGTGTTACGTGTACGCTGACTAGTTGTGGAAAAGGCTAAAAAGTTGACCATTTTTCCTTAGTAATTCAATCTGTAGCACTGAAAACTTAACTAAATGCTATCAAAACGTGTCGAACAGTTATGTCTTTGTCGCGTACAGTTAAACGTGTAATACGCGCAAGAAATATTAGTTAGGATCCTGAGTCTTTCCCCATAACCAGCGCTTCTGGATCGGCGCCCGTTTATATCCGCAAACTACAGTATCTTTGCGCTCCCAGGGCACAAACGCTGAAAGAACACCTCCCTGGGTGTCATTAATTACGATGTCATTCATCCCAACGCGTTTGATTACTGCATCGACCTGGGTCCCGTCGTTGTCTCATCTTTCCAATGCGGTTGGCACTAACCACCACAAAAGACCATCAGATGTCCTGGAAATTCCCCCCCCCAAAAGGGAATAGAAGATAGAAACTCCTCCCCTCTTTGTAGTACCAAGTGGGGGTCTTGCTTTTTTGGTGCTGATAGGCGGGCCTTCAGGACACAAAGCATGGGCGAATATGAGACGAAATATAAACCCCACTAAAGAGAACGATGAAGGTACGCTTTTTTTATTCATAATTGGATGTAGCATGCAGCTTCAGTATATGGACCTCTTACCGCAGTTAACATTTTGCGCGTTTCACGTGTTGCAAGTCAGACGATCTCAATCATTCGTAATTAGTCTAAATAGTGCTTGGTAAGGACGCCGTTGCAATACGATTGAACCTTCCAGGCAAGAACCGAAGCAGTGAAATTGGAAGAAAGTTTTCCCCCGATAACTCCGTTCTTTTAAAATTTCGAAGCACGAGTTAAAGGACACGTGTCTTTATTTATTTTGAAGCGCTGTTTTTGTTGAAAGATCGTCGAATGATCGCGTAAAGAAGACCCTAAAATTCTCCCTAATTTGCACATTTCCGGAAAATTATCCGAAGATAATTATTGGTGCGAAAAACGGATTTTTTTTTATTAGGCTTCAGGAAGGATTGGGCGATGGGATGCATTTCTGTTGCTGCTATGTGTCTCCCCGGCTTTTCAAAGCGTAATAAACCCAGGGTGAAGTGACAACGGAAAAAAAAACTTGGGAGGAGAAGTAGCCTATCCCATCGTGTGTATTTAAACGTGAAAATGGGCAGGGCTGTCGGAGCCTCTTTGTGAACACCTCTCTCTCTCTCTCTCTCTCGCATGTGCAGGTCCTGCTGGTGGTACAACCCAAGCAACTGTGCTGCACGACTGGGATACGTAATGGAAGTGCATCCAGCACCTAGGCGCCCCTTTAGGGCAGCAAATCTGATATAAAAGCGGACTTTAAAATGCAGAAATGTTGGGAAATATCGCAATCTGATCGTAGCATTTCCATATTGCGATATTTCTATTGTGGTGTTTTTCGGAACTGCGTGCGTATGGAGGCGGCTGCTTGCGAAGTGAGGATCAAGACGAAATATTTTTGTTAAATACTGAAAAAATACTAATAAGGCGACGCTGCAGCTGTTTTATTTAAAAGTGACGGAAAGATCAGTCGGAGGCTGCGAAGGGTTTGCTGTCAAAAACCGACAGCGCATTTTTTACAATATATATTTCGTGATAAACAGCATTTCGTAGAAAGGAAACTGAACACCCACACTTGAACTGGTGTTTTCACGAAATCGCCGAACTAACAGAAGTAACTAAGCAATAGGATACCTTGGGCAAGAGAGGAGAGTGATCTGACGGGGTTTCGGCCGAGGACAAAAGATCGATTGGAACCATGAGGATCCCGGCGTTCCTAATTGCCAGCGTTTTACTTGGTAAGTGATTTTGATATTAGTTTTCTGGTCGTTATACATCAACATCTTTTTGAGCTGTGACAACGCGTTCAGTAAAGTTTCAATTTAGGAAGTTCTCCCTCATTCAGAGGGATGGTGAGCATTTAAAATAGCCTAATTGTAATTGTAACAAACCCAGGCAACACCTAGATGCGTATGTTTGACGTTAGAGATCAGAACCCCACACCAAAAAGTACCCTGCGACCTTGCCTAGGATGGGTGAAAGCCTTTTTCATACGTTAGTTGCACGCCTACCCATCTGCAGTGGGTGATTAATAATCTCGCACCGGCGATTAAAATCACACCGGTGTCAGTTCACCGTCTGTGCGTACTGGCAGGTGGATTAATCGGTTGTAATTCAGCGGTTGTACGGTAAATATTCTAAAAAAAAAAAAGACATTAAAGATACATTAACCAAGATCAGTCGGATGGTCCGATGAAGTGTCTGGAGAACAGAAGGTCGCCACACCTCCCAGACAGCAGTCTGGAGCAAACTCCGGTTCACTTTACGACGCTGTTTTGGGTGTCACCAAAATGCTCCACTTTTGGACAGAAACATGATGAAGATGGTGATGAGGCAACAGTTATCTTGCTTATGTGTGGGTTTTTTTTCTACAGTCATTTTAAAGTTTGTTTTCATTGGTTTATTTATAACACGTCAGCTCAGCTTGAAGCCGAGACCCTACGATGATTTTCCGCTGCGCAAAAATAATCCGCCTACTGTTAATCAGAGCATTGAATTTTTAAAATTATTATTATTGAAATAAAAGTAAAACAGAAACGTACCTGTTTACCTTAAAATATTATGACTTGGAAATGGAATATATGGTTTTGTGCCAACACAGTTAATTTCCTTTAAAACGAGTTAAGCACTTAATTTTATGGGTTAGTGATAATGTACATTTTTCATAAATATCACATCGTTTTCCTTTGTCTGCTAGAAGCTTCCATGGTTGAGGAGTGCGATGCTTCATGTGGGTGAAGGTTTTTTGGGTGATCCTGGGCGTACTTGTTTTACTTTTGCTTAAATCGTACTTAGACACTGCCTTTGCGCGTCTTTTTAATGGAGGTGTCATGACGCACAAGCCAGTTACAGTTTGCACTTAAGAGTAAACTGCGTCCTTGTACTTATTGTGGTTTGGGGGAGGTGATTCTTAAACATCCGATTAGTTAAAGCCATGGAGGCGATTACTCGGAGCACGAAAGCCAAACGGACTCATCTGGGGTAAGAAGGTGGTGCGCTGTTTGCGGACGGGAGCTGTGGACACCAAAGTCTCCTTCAGCAGCAGGGGTTCAACAGACAGAAACGTGTGATAATTGTTAAGCCCCCCAAGTATTTGGCAATTAAAAAAACTAATTTATTCCGAAAGGCAAGCTTACGACACTTGTCAGACATGAGCGCTGAAGGGAAGGACAGTGTGTCAAGTAGCCTACAAGAACATAATATAAATGTGAGGTGTGTGTGTGTGTGTGTCATGGAATTAGAAAAATGTGATGCTCTTTTGTTTATTTTATGCATCAAATTAAACCATGCGAACTGCAAAGATGGAGATTAAACAAATGCAATTTCTGCGAATAAACGAAATGTGCAAATGTTTGTTTCACATGAGTGCACGTATAACTCGGCAATATGAAGATACACTGCAATCTGTCTGACTTTATTGTTTATTCTGATAGCCTATGTCTCAGTGTTTAACAATGGCCAGCTATTGATTACCAAAAATCAGTAAGGCCGTATTAAAATTCTCAATGGTTTTGGATCATTTTTACCTGGCAGTGGAACACCAGACTTGAGACAGAAAAAGATAGATCTTATTGGACAAACTTCTATAAAAATCATGACCATATCTGCAGGGTTGAAGCAGATGAATTACCCTGCTTACTGCAAACGACTTCACTGTGCTTGAAATGCTAATTTCGGCAATGCTTCTTGCTGGGCCACTGGCGGTGCTTAATCCGAGATGTACTGACGTTTTGGTACTCGGGAGTTGGCTCCCGTTAGGGGACACGCATGCCAAAATGCTAAGAAAAACGCATATAGCGAAGGAGAGGGGCATTTACATAATTCAGCCTCATTGATTCCCAAAAGAATTTATTCAAGTTGTAAACTGTAGTTGTATTGCTTTAATGTGCAAATGTGATATCTGTTTGTAGGCTGTGTATCAACGCCTCGGCGACGGATGCTCATTTACCGGCAGATTTACAGATTTACAAGCTGCGGTTACATTGTGGTGTTCAGCACCGTGTATGATGGCTTGAAACTCACCTTCCTGCAGCCAGTTCCTTGGCGTCTTCTGGCCCTTTGCACATTCTCGCTGACGGGGATGCCGACAGAGACCCCGTTAATAGCCTATGCTGACGTCAAACAGAGGTGCGCGCTCACGTGAACGCGCACACGCTTGCACGCACACATCTCCCCCAACGGCAGATGGCTTTTTTTCACGCCAAGGGTTACCGTGGTGTCTGATTCCCTGTTCGTGACGTCTTAATTGTCTGTTATAGATAGTGAAATGCGAAATATACAGTAAGTAACGAGTGTTTTGTCCTTTCATCTGTATACTGTCCCACCGTGTATCCAGTACAGGATGACAAGGGGGGCTGGGGTCTCTCGGACAGCACAGGGCACAAGACGGGGACACCCTGAATGAGACACTTGTTTTTCTGATTTAATAAAAAGGATTTTCTGCTCTGTTTGTGGGTGACTGGATTTTTTTTCCAGTGACGCATTCATTCAATGGATAGATTAACTTGTATCTCAGGATTTGAACTGGAGGTTTCTGTTCTTTATCTAGCAGCATTCACTTAATTATATGACAGGATTTGAGTTACATGGCTATAAAGGCAACTGATCGAGTTTGGAGTGGATTCTGGAGGCACTGAAGTACAACCACCCCCCTAGACATTGTTCATGGGAGTGTTTTAAAAGGGAAGATGTATAATTTGAAGTATTAATGTTCAGTGGGTAGGTAAAACCTACACCTGGTTTATTCTGACAATAGATCTGAGAGATTCCTTGAACTCTACTTATGGTAGGAGTTTGGGGTTTCAGGACTATCCTTCATCTTTTCTCCAGAGCTTTGATTACACAACAGCCAGCAGTGCCAGTCAACCCATTAAGCCACAGGCCTAAGCTGAGCCCATCCAATAAGGCAGTTTCACTTTGTCTCAGATAGGGGGCGTCAGTGTGGAAGCTTCTCTGATACCACATGGGCTTGACTGGCACTGATAACAAGGTAGCAAGATCTACTGGCAGAGTAATCAATGTCCTCAACCAAATGTGCTCCACTGGCAAGAGAGTGGAAGTAGTCATGGGGGATTCTTCCCTGAGTTCCTCTTCTTGCCGCTGATATGACGGTGTGTGGAGGAACCGGCTTGCAAGTTAAAGTTACAATGAAACCTCCTGCTGACTACCATGTTTCTTTTGTGGTCTGTCTAGGAAGCACGTACAAAGTGCATATGAAATGTGGTGGCTGTGAGCTCATCACCACAGGAATTGGACTAAGGACACGTCGTATTCAGCTGTTTTATTTTTAAAATCGGTGATGTTCCTCGAGATTCCTCAGAGAGGGCCTGTAATCATGGAGTGTTACTGAACGGCCTTTTTCTTCTTGATTAATTTCTCAAAGGTTCTGCAGCCCTCCCTCGTGTTAGTCTGGCCCTTCTTCACATACTGTACAGATATGGCTGTAAAATCCCTCTCTGGTGACAGACTGGGAAAATCACCTCAGGAGCTCAGTGATCTAGGTCAAGACCGTCTCCCTCAGCTTGGGGGCCAGAGCTTAAGGGGAAGCTGTGTTGCTGGTCAGAGTCTTTAGTTTTCATTTAGTTCCTGTGCTGCTGAGGTACTCTACCAGAGCTGGTCAAGCCAGTGGCCGACGTAGGCAGAGAGTTTGGGCGCCGACTTGCCGACTGTATGTGGTCCGCGCTACATCAGGGCCGGCCTTGAGTGTTTTGGCACCCTAGGCGAGATTCTGCTGAGCTCTCCAACCTCCCCCTCCCCCACCTCACAGAGCAACAGAAAACAAATTTTGTCAGTTGATTTATATTTAAACATTTACGTAACAAAGGGCATTTCTCAAGAATAGTGAAAAATTAAAAGTATTTTGAATTGTAACGTCCAGAATGCAGAGAGATTTCTTCTGTTTTGCCCCCCCACTTTGCTCTTGGTCTGCTAGGTGATCGCCTATATGACGGGCCAGTCCTGCAGTGAAGATTGCTGGAGGGTGTAAGGAAGTTTGCTATTGGGGGGCACTAGTGGTAAAGCCAGGGCTGCACATAGACTTCAGCCGGCCCTTTACATTACTCTACGTATCATTGTCCTGTCGCTTCATAACACTTGATTATGAGTAGAAAAAGTTTAGCGGTGATACTCCACTGAAAAATCCATTCTTTTGGCTCCATTTAAAAATTTTGCGATCTGCCCTCTGTTTGCTGTAAATCTATTTTGCAGAGAGTCATAAAGCTTTTTCGAACAGCTACAAGGCTCCGAGATATTTCATCTGCGATTCTGATGGACTGGTGTTCTGCGCTGGTCTGGGTATTCTCCAGCGAACCGGTACGACAGCTTGCTTAGATTTAAATTTTAATTACCCGTACTTTTGTCTTGGAGGGACTTCAGATTTAATTCAGGGAATTCAAGTCATGTGTCGCGTTCACACTAGTAATAAGTTAAAGAAATATTAATATGAAATATGAGCAATGTCATAGCAAGCAATTACTAAATCTTCCCCCCCACCTCCTCTACCTCCAACATAATTGGTTTCTAATTAGTTAATTATAGCTGCAGGTAGTTTTCATATGAATGTAACGCTCGGTACAGTGTAATATTATGACACAGAGTGCCAGCATGTCTGCCTACCTGCTAAATCAGGGAGTGGAGAAATATTCACACGAAAGTGCAAGCTGAAATGCACAAGTGTGGAAGAGACGGTGTAACTTTTTATTTTTAAACCAACTTTTTAGTTTGTGAGGCTTTGAAATTT